AAGGGTCCTGACCTGAAACGTCAGCTTTCCTGCTGCTCTGATGCTGCCTGGCCTGCTGTGTTCCTCCAGCTCCACATCTTGTTATCACAGTTGTGGCGGTTTTGTTACAAAATGAATTCTGTATTTTATGATTAAAACTTTTTTTTTTTTAAATTCAGGATTTTAAAAGACACTTTCTAAGAACCATCCATTTCTGCATCCAGTTCTTCATGATAAACAGAAATGGCTCAATTTCTGCAGGCCACAGTAAACACCAATGAATGACTCCATGAAGAATAATCCTCATTTGTACTTTTTCCAATACTGTCAAACAAGTACAACGCATTTGAGCTACACTTGCTCATTATTACAATAGAATACTGATGCCTGAATTACCTCGATTAACTGCTATATGATCAGACAAAAATAAGACAAATTAAAACCAATTCATTCAGAGTTGCTTCTCAACACGAGTTGCAGTGCTTGGCTGAGGATTTGAGACTTTAAATTTAGGTTATTTCCTTCTGGCTACTTAGTGAAACATAACTTATTTAGTTCAGGTTTTAATGCTGACAAACCCACTCGTTAACAGTTGTTAAATTTTCTTGTTGGGTTTGTAGACCATGAACAGTACAGCAATTGCAAATATCCTTAAAGTAAGAAGGAATTAAACTGGGGGTGGTAGCAACGTGGGGTAGAGGTAGAGTATTCTACTCTACAGTGACTGCTTTGTCTTTAAAAGTAGAAATATATTTTAGCTATGTCCGCTTTGTTGATGCATTCATTTTAAAGGTGAGACTGACAAGCACCTGCATTTGAATGTTATGAGACAAACTGCTGAACACATTGTGCATTGCGCAAGGCCCCAGTTTATACGAGTGGCTAATAGTTTTGTATTTATAATAGCACTATTGTCTATTTTAAGCAGCAGGAATGGCCAGCACTCCCACTAGCAGGGAGTGGGGAAGTTAGGTTCATTTGCTGCTACTGTTGTCAATTATTATGCAATTAATGGTCATTTTGTAAAATGATTGAAAGGAGAAATTTGCCTCAATTATGACAGAAATAGCTCGTAGAAATTTTTTAAGCCACAGCATAAATGTTTACACTATACTGATGTGCATATAAACCAACAAGCTCTTTAATCATATTGATGGCAAAATGGAAACTTACGTACCTCTGCTTTGCTTTGACTTCTACATTCAGGCAGGATAACCATTACAAATATTGCAACGATTGAAGTTACTTTTGTAGATGACTTCTGATTAGCTGTTATGAATTAAAAATTGACATTATTTGCTATCTGCTTTTGTGATTAACAACTCAAAATTGTTAATTTGAAGTTTATTTTTTCTCAGTGGTGATACTGCTTGTAGTAATTGCAACTGAAGTTGTCTTAAAAGTGAAAAGGACAAGACTTGTTCCACTTAATCATGACAATAAAATGCAGCATTTATCTGTACAAGGCAATGAATCTTCTGGTTTCCTCAATTACAAGTTTCAGCTGTGCTGGTAGAGAGATCTTCAGAAAAAAGAGAAAATTGAAGTGTCTTCCCTGGTTGATTATACCATCCTTCTACAAACTGATGGAAAAATTCCATTTGTGCAGTTTTAGGTGTGTGTTTTGACAATACTGCATTCACTCAGTAGTGTCAGACTTCATTTGTGGTTTACAGGCCAAGGATGAAGCGGACTTTTTTTAAATATATATTTTAAGATAAACTCTTAGTCACTTCTTAAATATTCCTTGCTAGTTTTCCCTTGTAGTTTATTTTGCATTTTCTTTTGGTCCTCATTTGCTGGATTCTCAATGTATTCCAGTTTTCAGGGCTATCACTGACTCTTGGTTTCCTTTTATTTGCTTTTTCTTTCAACTGTTAAAACACTCCTTAACTTTCTTGATTAGTTATGGTTGGTTTATCCCTCTCGAGTCTTTCTTCCTTACTGGGATACTGCTTGCTTGCTTGTTTTTCTTGCTAACCTATCCAGCCAGTACACTTTAACTAATTCTACCCTCATTTCATAGTAATTTTCAATATTTAAGTTCAACACAGTTGTTTCCAGCCGAAGCTTTTCACTGTCAAACTAATTAAATCCTACTGTGTTATAATCACTACTTATTAAACTGGAAAGGGATTTTACCAGGACATTGCTGGGACTGAGGGTTTGAGATAGAAAAATAGGCTAGAAACAGTAGAGCATAGGAAGTTGAAGGGTGACCTTATTGAAGTTTATTAAATCATTAGGGGCATAGATAAAGTGAATAGCAAGGCTATTTTTCCTAAGGTGGGGGAGTTCAAAACTAGGGCACATATTTTTTAAAGGTGAGAGGAGAAAGTTTTAAGAACATGATGGGCACCCTTTTTAAAAATAGTGTGGGTCATGTGTGGAATGAACTGCCAAAGAAAGCGGTAGATGCACTTAGTTACAATGTTTAAAAGACAATTGGGTAAGTACATGAATAGGAAAGGTTTGGAGAGAGCTGAACCAAGCACAGGCAAGTGGGATTAGTTAGATCAAAGGGTCTGCTTTTGAACTTTGACTGTCTCTGATCACTGGCACGCACTGACAGTAAAGTCCCTTATGTTCCAAATTCTTCAAGTCCTCACTTTTAAAGAGCAGAAGTATTCACTAATAATAAAAAAAAGGAACTGATCACCACATCCCTCTTTCACAGATGGGAAGCAAATTGCAAATACCAGAGTGATGTAGCTTACTATAATTTGTCATTTGAAAAAGGCCTGTTGACAAGTTTCCTTAGATGCTAAAATGGTCCTTTGGTTCAAACTGCTAAAAATACAATAGGTGGACTTATCATGTAAGGCATGATGATTTGAAGAGAAGATTTAATCCTTCCATTTCATTCAGTTATTATTACGTCATACAGCATGGAAACAGACTGTTTGGTCCAACTCATCCATGCCAACCAAGACTTCCATTTGCCTGCACTTGGCCCATATCCCTCTAAACCTTTCCTATTCATGTCTCTGAAACATTTTAACTATACCTACATCTGTCACTACCTCTGGCAGTATATTCCACACATGGACCCCGCTCTGAAAAAGTTGCTCCTTGGGTCCCTTTTTTAATCTTTCTCCACTCACCTTAAAATTATGTCCTTTAGTTTTGAACTCCCCACTCTAGGGAAAAGGTGGGCTTGAAAAAGTTTATTTTTATAAACTCATCAAAACTGCAAGATGTCAAGTATTTGTTGGGACACACAGACTTGCATTGAGGGCAGCAGCAATAGGAAGTGAGCATGTGACTGTGGGAATGCTTTCATTATATTGGTATTCACTTCACTTTACCAGAAATGCATACCTAAAAATAAGGTAAAGTGGGCACCAGCCTTTGGATTAGGACCATCTTGGGCCTCAATCTCAATTAGAATCGTAGAATCCCTATAGTGTGGAAACACACCCTTCAGCCCAGCAAGTCCACACTGACCCTTGGAGCATCCCACCCAGACCCATTCCCCTATAATCAATACATCCCTGAACTCTATGGACAATTTAGCATGGCCAATCGACTTGGCCTGCACGAGGAAATTGGAGCACCTGGAGGAAACCCATGCAGACACGGAGAATGTGCAAACTCCACACAGACAGACAGTCACCCAAGGGTGGAATTGAACCCGGGTCCCTGGCGCTGAGAGGCAGCAGTGCTAACCACTGAGCCACGGTGCTGCCCCGAATAGGGCTTGTAGCAGATAACATGAAAGTAACAAAAATCCTGAATTTATATAATTTGTTTTGTGCTTCCAGTTTAACTTACTATCCAATAGCTTACAAGTTAAAACTGAAGATACCTGGGATATACAGCACATCTTTTATTCTGGTGAAATGCCATTGCAACAGTGACTCTGCCATGTGCTGTGAAAATGACCAGATGTTTTATAATTTCTACTCTACTACTCACTGTCGTAGATGAGGTAATAGCCCCAAAAACTTTCAAAGTAAGTCCCATTAACAAAATGACTGATTTTAAATCAAAATCATTAAAATACTATTATGCAAGGGTACAGTTGTTATGGTGCTGCCTTTTCTCAGTGAGAATTCACAAGAAATTGACAAAAAAGACTGCAAATATTTGGGCTTACTAATGAAATGTACCATAATAAAACACTTCAGGCCATTTTTGGAATTCATATCCTACATGGATGTTTTGTGTTTTTTTTTACATAAATCAAACTTCAGCAAATAAAACTTCTACTACTGCACCAATTGCACAAGAAAATTACAATCATTTGAAAATTGTCTGTAGAGTGTACACATCCAGGTATTAACAACTGAAAAACTGGCTGTTGAACATTAAAATGGTCTGGATCATCATACAGATGTAAAATGTTTGTATTTGCTGCTAATCAACAGCCCCTATAGGCTCATACTCTTGTCTTTTACCATTTCTAAAAATGTCACTCTGGCAAAATATTGACTGCACCGTGTTGCCATAAAATAATTGTTTTAAGTACGCTCGCTTTTAAATGCAGCTGCAACAACTAGAAGTAGATGATTCCATGCCAGCATTTCAATAGCAGCAGAGGTTTTAGAAAGAGAAGAGAAATCCGACCGGACAGTTTTGCTCAAATGTTTTAGGTTGATCTGCTTTCCAGTTATGCTGTCAAAACTCCTTTAGATTGGCTCTTTAAATTGTTAAACGTGAATATTTGGCATTTAACAATGTTCCTTGGCAAAACACAGGTAAAGCTAACCTTTCACGAGTTACACTCCAGCCCAAAAGATGAATATAGTAAAGCATCCATAGGAAAGGCACCTCATTTAAAAGTGGGAATATACATCAATTCCACAATTAACTAAGAAGCAAAGACAGATTGTGCATGAACACTATATTTAGCAGATCAATAATGTTTTATAGTAGTACACTTACAGAATATCACAATGTTTGTTACAAACATAAGCAATAATGGTTTGATGGTTGCACATAATGTTGGGCGCTGCAGCCTGTATGTCATTACACTAAAAGTTTCTGTACACAAATAAATGGAATTGTTTAAAATGAAACAAAATTTTAATGTCATTGTATAAATTCAGCATGGCACTATCACACGGATTCCTGCTCAAGTATGAGTGTCTGTTTGTCATTTTGCTTTATAACAGCAGAGGCTGAATGTGGTAATAGTGTTAAGCCACTGCTGTCAAAGCAATTCAGTAAAGTACAAAAATAGTACTGTTTTAATTAAATGTGCAATAAAATGAACACCGTTGACCTTTTTCATTTCCAGATCCTCAAAATGTTATCAAAATTTTATTATTCACTTAATGCAGAACATGGCAACATTATTCCCAAAGAGGAATAGAAGTTGAATTTTAAAAAAAAAGGTGACAAATGGTACCTAAAAACATCAGTTAGTGATCCAACACTGAACTGTGCACCACAAACCAACTTCTAGATATCTCCTTTAATATTATTTCAATTTTAAAAAAATGTGCACTTCAACAAACTCACTAAGGCCACTCATGCTATAGATACCTAGGAATATAATGACATACTGTAATGTACAGCAAACCTATCACAGTGCCCTTAAGGATGTCATTTTGCAATGGGTGACACAGCAAAATAATTAGGACTAACTGCGATGCTGTGGAGGCAAGCAGTGCAAATGGCACCAGTTAGCACACTTCACAAGGAACTGCTATAACTTCCAAGATGCCAAATAAATTTAGCCAATAGTCAACAAGGCTTGTATGAAATTCACTTGCCCATCCTGGAACGATCTGATTTATGCATAAAGAAATGGTTGGATTACTATTCAAAAGTTGTGGTCAGCAGCAAAACGGCTGGAAATATAATTAAAAATAAAATAAAAGGCTGCAGCTGCAAAATAACTTCACTTTAACCAATATTTATGGCATTCAGGTGCCGAGACAAATCCTCCATGTCATCAGCATTTGCAAACTTTACTAGACAATGACATGCCATGGCGACTGTTTCCGGTCAGTTCTTTCCTAGACTTGTATCTATTACATGAATTTTTTTTTCCATTACCTTTACCTCGGAGTTTAACACCTAAATGAAAGTAATTACCCTAATGGTATTACGTGTAGTTACTGGATTGTTTCACAGTATGCTTCTTCCTTGTAGTCCAGGGAATAAAGACTGTATGTGACAATTTAATCCTGTTTTGAACCTCAGCAACCCTGTCCAACTGTAGGCTGAGCTAACAGGAATGATCTGACCACTTCCTCTGTGGATTGTGTGCTGCCATTTACATCCTCAAGGGCATCACTGATGGCAAACTGTCGATCCCGCAGGCGGTTCCAGTTGGACAGAATATTGTGATATTCAAATACTTTCTCAAAATTGCCAATAGAGTTGTACAGTTTGATGAGACCTCTGTAATCATACTCTAGTCCACTGTAACCTTCTCCAAACAGCTTCTTTCCTGCAAACGAACACATCATACAGAACTTCACTACTTCCAGAATGAACAAGATGAATTATTTTAACTGTGACACAACCACATCTTCTGTTAAATGAGACATCAAAATGATGCTTAATCTGCCTTTCGAATTAAGGTAATTAGCCTCCATACCTGTATAGAATTTCCTTGAAAACCTATGGTCCAAAACCTTGTGACTGAGGTTAATACTAGATACAAAATATGTGGCGGGACAATATTAGGAGAGGTGGGTAACTGTTTAGTTGAATTTAATGGAAACTTCAGACAGTGGGCAGGGGATGAATGAGACTGAGGATTTAGAGAAATAAAACTAGAGAACAAGAAAAGGTATTTGAGTTCTTTGTTACCAAGGGCTGAGGGAATGAGAATAAAGTTGGAAGAGAAAATATAAGATTGGAAAGATTTGAAGAGACTTGGAGGAATTTGAATGTGATGCTCTGGCAATGGAGTACTAAGGAGGTGGCTTTGTGCAGCATGGAAGGAAATCAGGGACTAAACAGAATGGCTTCCATCTGGCCATTGTTAAGCTTCAGAAAGTTTGCATGCACTCAACTTGAGGAGCATTTAGGCAGGATAGTAACAAAGCCTAAAATTAAAGCATTAAATTTAAAACTACAGATAAAAGTTCACACTATATTATGTTAAGGTCACAGGGAGAACCAATACCTCTGGTTGAAAAATATGGAGGCAAAACCCACTTTGATAATGGTTGAGACCCCTATGGCACGAGAGAGGGGCCATCACAACAGATAGATTGGCTACATGGAAAGAAAAGAGTTCCATACTTCAAAAGAAAAGCAGTGGATGATGATGTGGTTAATGTCTAATAGAAGTCAAGAAGGGATAATGCACCACAGTGACAGTCACACCACAATTCATTAGTAACTCTTACCAAGATAATTTCAATACTGAATATAGCATTGGAAACCAGATCAAAAAATAATGTTGGGAGAGGAGGTACAGAAGTGACCCATGGAAAGTGTTGCAAAGTTGGTATAGTACTTGTGGATTGGAAGGCAGGACGTTAGAATTGAGGTTTGTGAAATGATGGGGCGTTGGGGGGGAAAGAATGTGTGATCCCTTTAAAAGATGGTGCTTTTTCTAGGCTTGGAGATTAAAAACATGTGCAGGTACAGAGAGAGCTCCTGAAATTGAAACATTGTATCAAAAGATTAATGGTTAGAAACCCAGGCAGTAGTCCTGTTTTGTAGTGAGCAAGACAACCAGTTTGAATATCAACCAATTAATTTAAACCAGGCTTTTAGAAACTAAAAACCAATTAAGTTTAAATCTGATGGTTTTGACAACCTAGGACCAATCCTGTTGTAAGAAATTGATAAATCATCAAGGGTATAAAAGAAGAGGTTATTTGAAAATCAGGGTGCAGGCAATCTGACATTTGAAGAGAAACTCACTGGCTCTCACAGAAATCTCCAAGCTCTTAGAGTAAGCACCATCTAAATAAAGATACTATGGCACTCTCAGCTAATATTCCCAACATAAGAATTCAACGGAGGAAGGCGTTCCTGACTGAAGGACAGCGGAGAAGGCAAAGAACATTCTGGAAGACTTATCCTGACTATAATTTCAAGAGAGTAAGTTTTAAACTAATAAAAATAATTTGGTTTCTGTAAGTGGGACTTTTTTTTTTAAAACTGGAATAGCATACCATTAGAATTTTGTTTTATTCAGGAATAGTTCGTAGTTGAAGGGGGGGGGAAATTGTTTGATTTGTTAACAGTTAAGAGATAAATAAATTGTTACTTGTTTATTGTAGAGTGACCTGTCAGGCGTTCATTTTATTTCACCTCCTTTATAACAGTTTGGGAGGTGAGAGGCAGGTTATACCACTTTTCACGTTTCCTTTAACAGATTACGAGGGGAGCTTTTCTGGGGGTTTTGGTTTTAATTATCAGAGAGGTGTTGACCTCTGCTTCGTAACAAAAGAAAGGCATTGTTGGAAACAAGGTAGTAATTCGACAGAAGAATTGAAAAATTTTACGAAAAATTATTTTTTCAAAACCAAAATCATGAAAGCAAGTCAATTAGCCTGGACCACATTAATTTTCTAACGACATCAACAACCCTACAATATTGGAAAAGGAATGAAAAAGGCAAATTAAATATTTGATAAAGTTAGCAAAGCTAGTTGTTATAAAAGGTACTCAATGGTACAATTGTGGGAAAAAAGCTAATTTGAAACACAAATCCAGTTTGACATGCATATAAATGCCATGTTAATTCTGTACTTTCATTATGCTGCCACTGTGGAAAGACATGAAAAGGGATACTGACAATATGTATGAAGCAGCAAACCGTTCATGTGAGGCTCAGACAAAGGCGATCAAACTTGACAAGCACTGAAATAGTTATGATGTGCATAGCAGAGGTTATGCAATTATTGAAAACATGTTTAATGCCAATATTTAATTATATCTTCACATTACTGCTACATGGTATTTGCAAACCCATTTTAAATCTTCCTGAAAAAGTTGCCGTACACTGTTTAAGCCAGTAACTAAAAAAGGCCATGCACATTTTACAAACTATTACAAAATGCTGTTAGTATTCAAAATGCACCTATATAATCACCAATGGAAAAAGAAATGTTGCTTTTACTAAATGATAAAACCTATTTAAATTCATAAAATTTTCAGAATACCTAAAATAAGAATTTCCAAATTTTGTTTCAATTCATTCACAAAATATGGACATCACTGGCAAGACCAGTACTTTTTAAACTGCCTGCCCCTTGTTGATCTTGAAGTTGGTGGTGAGCTGCCTTCCTGGTCTACTGCAGTCCATGTGCTGTAGAATGACTCACAAAAGCCTTTAGGAAGGGAATTCCAGAATTTTGACCCAGTGACAGTGAATGAATAGGGATATATTTCCAAGTCAGGGTAGCGAATGGCTTGGAAGGAAACTTGAAGTCAATGGTGTACCCATGTATCTGCTGCCCTTATCCTTAAGGTGGAAGTGGATGTGGGTTTGGAAGGTGCTTCTGATATTTGTAAAACATCAGACAACTAGGACCTAGATGCATCTTATAAATATGTTCGTAGCTAGCAGGCGCTTACTGGACTTAATTAAGAACCGGAACTCCCAAGCACAATGCCAGAGCTCTAGTGTGTTAGAAATGCCTGTTTGGGAAATTCTGCCACATTTAACTCATCTGACTCCTCAAGGCCTGTCCACCATTTACAAGTCAGAAGAGTGTTAGGTTACTTTTCATTTGCCTGGGGGCAAGGGCAACTCTAATAATATTCAAAAGGTTTGGCAGGACCAAGACAAAGTACCCCACTTGACTAACACCCATTTAGCTGCTTCAGCACTCACCCTCCACGACTGATGCTTAGTGACAGCAGTGTGTGCCGGCTACAAGATATAGATAAACTATTTCCACTGGTCGGGGATTCAAGAACTCGGGAGCTGTCTGAGAATTAGGGCCAGACATTAGGAAGCACTTCTATCCAGAAAGGGTGGTCCTTGTTTGGAACTCCCTCCATAATGGCAGTGGATGCATGATCAGTTATCAATTTTAAATCTAACATAGATAGATGTTTGTTAAGTAAAGATATTAAGGGATACTGGCTACTTCTGTCCCTACGCTCTGCAGAACCTGACCAAATCTCCTTGGACAGGAACTTCTCAAGCTGCAAATTCTACCGCCTAGAAGGAGGAGGGAAGTAAATGCATGAGAAAAGCACTACCTGCAAAAGCCCCTCCAAGCTACACACCTTACTTGGAAGTACACCATCACTCCTTTAGTGCTGCTGTGTCAAAATCCTAGAATTCCCTCCTAAAAGGCACTGTCCATTTTCCCTCATTCCATGGACTGTGTGGTTCAAAGAGGCAGATTACCACCACGTTCTCAAGGACAATTAGATATGGGCAATAAATGCTGGCCTCGCTAACGATACCCAAATCCTCTAAATGAGGAAGAAAAAATAATGGAAAGATTTACTGACTGGGCTGCTGTCAAGGGGGTAGCGATTAAAATTGAATATGTAAATCACCCAGAATTGAAGGAGTGCATATATTTTGGGAAATTACATAGCTAGAGGAAGCAACACAGAGTTAGGGAGGGGTGAGACCATGGGAGAATTGAAAATAAAGAAGGGAATTTTAAGTGATACACTGCTGGAGCTAGTGTAGGCTGATCAGCCTACAGATGATAGATGAAGTGGATATGGTGCAAATTAAAAAGGTACAGGAATTGTTTTGCGTGAGCTCAAGTTGATTTAAAAATTGAAAGATGGGAGCCAAGCCAAGAAAGCATTGGAAAGATCAAGTCTAGAAGGTAACCAAGAAATGTTTGAGGGTTTCTGCAGTAGAAATTAGGGGAAGCACTGGCTTTGTGGTAATGCTAATAGCCCAGCAATCCAGAATCCTAAACTTGAATGTTCTGAGGATGTGGGTTTGAATCCCACCATGGGAGATGGTGAAATGTGAAATCAGACTTTAAAAAAAAATCTGGTATTACAAGCTAGCCTACTGACAACCATCTAACACTTGATTGTTGTAAAAAGCTATCTGGTTCACTAATGTCCTTTAAAAGAATGAAATCTGCCACTGACCCAGTTTGGCCTACTTTTGTGACTTCGGACGCTTGTCATATGGCTGACTATACTCTGAAATGGCCTAGCAAACCATACAGTTCAAGGGCAATAAGGAATGGGCAATTAATGCTGCCTTTTGTCAGCAACACCCACATTGCATAACAAATTTAAAAAAAAAAAAAAAAATAAGCTGAGGCTGGAGTGGAGTTGATTGATATCACAGATCTGCAAGATGCGGTCTTTGTAATAGAAGAAATATAGTCAGAAACAAATCCTGGAGTTAATTAGAACACCTGCCCAGAAATGCTTTTGTTCGGTCTTTTGTTGAGAGGGAGAAGGAAGAAGTGGATAGCTAGGGAACAGAATTTGTGTGAGGACTAAATGACAATATTTCCAGTCATTCCAATTTTCATTTAGAGGAAATTTCTACCCATCCACTGCTGCAAGTCTGGCAAGCAGTATCGTAAATCAAAGAGGTGATCGAGAGAGGTGGGGATAAGGCAGACCTGGATGTCGTCAGAGTACATGTGGAATCCTGCATTGTTTTCAGATGGTGTTGCTGAGGGTCAGCATTTAGAGGGAAAAAGATAATTCATCAAAAGGATCTTTTCCATCACGTGAATACTTTAATTTGTCAGAGGTGAAATGTTATTTGCCAAGACTATCTGAAATTCAGTGATACTGCAGGTATCAGCAACAGGATACAAAACTGAACAAATCTGAATATTGAGTATTTAATGCATTGATGGTAGCTAGGTATTGAAATGCTGGTATATTGCTACTTTGTTGTAACTTAAAAAGTGCTGAAAATTTTCAGTTTTCCTATACCCTATGTTCTAGAATTTTTCAAATATCAGAGCACTAGGGCCCTAATGCATTTTATAAATAATTTTTTAAATAGCAGGCTACAACTGAAGTTAATGAAGAACTGGAACTCCCAAGCAGAATGTCAGAACTCAAGTATTTTGGAAAATGGGAATTTTTTCCCTCATTTTTTGACAATAAGTACAACCTTCATTAGACATTCAAATAAGAAAAGCACACAAATGTACACAGGTTAACTGCATTAGCACTGCATTCTCAAATTCAGGTGAGGAAAGTACATACCTATAGCTATAGACCTCAGATAAAGTTTTTCAGCATCTTCAAACTGATTCATATCATAGTTATAGAGAGATGCTAGATGTCCCACCGATAATGCCACTTCATAATCTTCTTGGCCCAAAAGTTGCTCCTTAATTTGAATTGCTTTTATATGCATTTCTTCTGCTTCCTATGAAACCAAATAAAAAGTATCTGTGATAACTATGCTAATTATAACAATGAACTAAGTAAGGTCAAAAATCAAGTTACAGTCCAACAGGTTTATTTGTACACAGAACCTTTTGGAGCGTTGCCCCTTCCTCAGGTGTAATGAGGGAGGAAGTATCAAGACACAATAAGTAGGTAAAAGATCAAAGCATTATACAACTGATACTAATATATTTAATAACCCTAAACTGGCTGACCAACTTTCTCCTGTTAAATCCTTAATCAGTTAGAAAGGAGATGCAGGTTTTGATCAACTTGAAAGAAATTCAGAGTTATACATTAATGTACCAAGATAGATATTATTAAATAAATTAATAGATAAAATTCTCAGCTTGTAACAATCTAAAATAAACTCCACAGCCAGCCATTTCTGGGGACAGGCTAGCCACCAGTATCCACTATAAATTCACTGACTCCCACAGTTACCTCAACTATACATCCTTACACTTTGTTTCGATGAAAATTTATACTGTAATTTTCAGAGTTGCTCTATATGCATTGGATCTGCCAATTTCATCAAGGGGGTTTCCGAAAAGTCAATGTTCATCGACCAAGGATTCATCATGAACATGGTTGACAGGCTCACCTTACCTACCATCCCACCAGCATCCACACCCAAAGGACCATTAACCGCCATTTCTGACCCCTCCAGCAGGACGTTAACAACAGACACATATTCCCCTCCCCTCCCAGATCAGCCTCTCTCTGAGAGGCCTTGGTCCACTGCTCCTCCACTCCCAACACGATTCCACAGCACCTTCCCTTACAACAGCAGGAGGTGTAATACCTGCCCATCTATTTACTCTCTCCTCACTATCCAAGGCCTGAGAGACAACTTCCAGGTGAAGCAGTGTTTACCAGCATTTCACAGACAATCTAGTCTTCAGTATTCACTGCTCATAATGCAGTCTCCTCTACATTGGAGAGGCAAAATGCAGACAAGGTGACTGCTTTGTAGGACACCTTTGCTCCGTCTGCAAAAATTACCCTGCCTGTTGCCTCAACACACACCGTGTTCCCTAGCCAATTTCTATCTCAGGCTTGCTGCACTGCTCCAGTGAAGCTCAGCGCAAGCTAGAAGAATAACATCACATTTTACACTTGGCAACCCTATAGGCTCCTTCACCCCCAACACCTCCCCCACCTTCCCCTGTAACTGGCGAAGGTGCAACATTTGCCCATTTACCTCCTCACTCCCCAATATCCATGGGTCCAAACATACCTTCTAGGTGAAGCAACACTTCACCTGCACTTCCCAGAATCTAGTCTACTGCATTCCCTGCTCAAAATGTGGTCTCCTCTACATTGGAGAAACGAAGCGTAGACTTGGTGACCACTTTGCAGAACATCTATGTTCTGCTCACAAAAAAGACCCTGAACTACCACTTCAATGCACTACCCTGCTTCCTGCAGTGTTCCAGCGAAGCCCAACGCAAGCTGGAGGAACAACACCTCATTTTCCACTTGGGGACTCTACAGCCCTCTGGACTCAATATGGAGTTCAATAATTTTAGGGCCTAAACGCTCCCATGTCCCAGCCCCTTACCCCACATACCACACAGTGTTACCACAGCCTGCCATTACACACCCCCTGTTGTTAATCACTAACAGTCCCCACTAACAACTATTCACCCTCCCAGCCTGATCGTTAGCAACTCCTTGGTCTGTCCAACTGTCTCTCTCTTCGGGCTCTATCCTGTCGTTTACTCCCTACCCCACCCACCTCCCTATTTTCTTTATTTTAACTGACATTTTTCCAGCCACCACCAGTTCGGAGGAAGGGTCACCGGACCCGAAACATTAACTCTGTTTTCTCCTTCACAGATGCTGCCAGACCTGCTGAGCTTTTCCAGCAACTTTGTTTTTGTTCTGGATTTACAGCATCCACAGTTCTTTTGTCTTTTTAACCCTATGGACTTCTGGAGTTCAACAATTTTAGGGCTTCAGCAACTTCTCTTCATAGTCATAGAGATGTATAGCATGGAAACAGACCCTTTGGTCCAACTCGTCCCTGTCAACCAGATATCTTAAATTAATCTAGTCCCATTTGCCAACATTTGGCCCACATCCCTCTAAACCTTTCCAATTCATGTACCCATCCAGATGCCTTTTAAATGTTGTAACTACACCAGCCTCCATCAACACTTCCGGCAGCTCATTCCATATATGCACCATCCTCTGCGTGAAAATGTTACTCCTTAGGTCCCTTTTAAATTCTCCCCCCACCACCTTAAACCTATGTCCCCTGGTTCTGGACTCCCCTAAACTGGGAAAAGATCTTGGCTGTTCACCCTATCCATGCATGCCCTCATGATTTTATAAATCTCTATCAGATCACCCCTCAGCCTCTGACACTCCAGGGAAAATAGCCTCAACCTATTCAGCCCCTCCCTATAGCTCAAACCCTCCATCCCTGCAACACCCTTCTTAATCTTTTCCAAACCCTTTCAAGTTTCACAACATCTTTCCTATAAACAGGGAGACCAGAAATGAATGCAATATTCCAAAAAGTGGCCTAACCCAATGTCCTGTACAGCTGCAACAAAACATTCCAACTCTATACTCAATATCTTGACCAATAAAGGCAAGCATACCAAAAGCATTTTTCACCAGCTAGTCTATCTGCAACTCCACTTTCAAGGAACTATGCATCTGCATTCCTTTGTTCAGCAACATGCCCAGGGCCCTACCATTAACTGTACAAGTCCTGCCCTGTTTGCAACACCTCACATTTTCATTTAAAATAATCTCCATCTGTCACTCTTTGGTCCATCTGATCAAGGTCCCACTGTATTCTGAGATAACATTTTTTCAGCATCCACTACACCATCTTTTTTTCTTTACTGCCAAGTAGTAAAAATTATTCAAATAGGTCCAGCACAATTTAACTCCCATATCCAACTGTGAACCTTCAGTTTCAGTGTTTCCAAACAGCAAGGCTGACAGTACTAATGCCTTTTTATGGCCAACATGAATAAATGAATGGGTCCTAGATACAAGTAGCCAGAATACAGCTGAAAAACTTCTAATTTTAAACTATTTAAGTAAATAGAACAAACAGCTTCTAATTATGGTTGCTGGTAGTTCTACACTTTTTCTTGTCTGCAGTATAAAAATATGTTGACTCTTCCTTTTTAGGTCAGTGAAATGACTTTGCCCTTATGGGCTGCCATGGCTCAATGTGGAACGAACTTGAGTAACCCTTCAAAATTCAAATGTTAAAGAGAGAAGAAAGTGTGCTCTGAAAACACACTTAACTAGGAAAGTTCCACATCATTTAACAGTACCTTGAACTTCCGCATAGATTGATAGAGCCTGCCCAGGTTTCCGTAGTGCTTTGCAGTCTGCACATTGAATTCACCAAAGGCTTTCTTGGCTAACTGGAGTGAGGAAAGGTGCAAATCATGAGCCTCCTGAAGAAGCCGTTGCTCAGTTTCCTTGTTATGACAGTCAATAGCAATCTCCTCCAGTATAAGCGCTGCAAAGAAAACACATCTATGACAAAATCAATCTGAAAACAGATTTCAGAGGACAGGACGAGTGACAGAAACCCTGAGAATTCATTAAATCCAGATGACAAAGTAGAACATCAGGCTGACCACATTCTGTTCAAGAAACTAAACTGAACTGAACAGCAATTAGAGATGTTGGGGAATACATATTAGCCTTGCCAGCAACGGCCATATTCCATAAATTAGTTTGGGAAAAAATAAAGTGGTCAGATATTTAATATAGACAGTGCTATAAACTGGAGACTAACCCCCGCCCCCCCCGACCCCGAGAACTAAAACCGAAACACCCAAAGAAGTGTACCTTGCCCTATAATCTGTAAAAGGGGAGTGAAAAGTGGTGCAACCTGCTTTTCAGCAACTTCTAGTTGTTAAATAAAACAAATCCCTGGCACTTTAAAAATCAACAAGTGACAATTTATTTATCTAACTCTAACAGTGAACGAATTAACTATTAACAAACCAAATAAATCCCTTCTAACTACTAACTATTCCCGAATAAAGCAACAATAAATGCAAGTCCCCACATATATAAAAGATAGAATTTAGTCTCTTGAAATTACAGCCAGGATACATGTCTTCTGGAATGTTCTACGCCTTCTCCATCGATTCTTCTGTCAGGAATATTAACCAGTTGTACCGTTGGTACCATTGGTATTTAGATGGTGCTTTCCCTAAGACATAGAGGAGGCTGTGACAGCCAGCGATTCTATCTTGAGAGCTGAGGGCCATTAGTTTTGGCAGTTAGCAGCTAGCTCTGGAGCACTGTCCAACTACCCCCTTTTTTTTTTTTTAAAATACCCTTGATGACATACCAATATTTCTTAAAATAGGATTGGTCCTGTGTTATCAAAACCAGATTTAAATTTAATAGGCTTTTTGTACCCAAGTGTCTGGTTCAAATTAATTGACTAAATTCAAAAGCTTGTTGCCTTGGTAAAAATTGCTGCTTAGCTAGCTAACTGTATGGCCTTTCAATGCAAATTTTTCAACTTGGGCACGATCTGTGTACTTGCAAACTTTCAAGCTGCTCTTCACAAGCATCCATTTTAAATCTCTAAGCACTGAAAAAGCACTTAAAAAAAAAACCTTAACTCCACTTTATTACTAGACCCATAGCTCATTAATCCAGTATTACACATTTTATACTAATTCTATATTAAATATTGAATAAAACCATTTCTTTTTTTTTCTTTATTCATTTAAGGGACAAGGGGGTCGCTGGCTAGGCAGCACTTATTGCCCATCCTTAATTGTCCAGAGGGCAGTTCAGAGTCAACCACATTGCTGTGGGTCTGGAATCACACATAGGCCAGACCAGGTAAGGATGGTAGTTTCCTTCCCGAAAGGACATTAGAGAACCAGAAGGTTTTTTTCTGACTATCGACATTGGATTCATGGTCATCATTAGATTCTTAATTCCAGATTTTTTTTTTTTTTTTTAAAAACGTGAATTCAAATTCCACCATCTGCCGTGGCGGGATTCAAACCCAGAACGTTACCCGGGTTTCTGGATTAATAGTCCAGTGATAATACCACTAGGCCATTGCCTCCCAAATAATTTATTTTATATAAACATTTTTCTTTTAACTTCACGATAAAGCAGCCGCAATAATATTTTCATGACCCGCAACATGTACAATGTGGAAATTAAATGCTTGTAATATGAGACTCCACTGAAATAATCTGTTCTTGTCCTTAAATCTTTCCAGAAATGTCAAAGGATTGTGATCAGTATACAGAATTGTCTCTGATGCATTGTTTGCAACTTAAACATTAAAATGTTGTAAGGCCATTACCAAATTCAATAACTCATTTTCAATGGTTGAATACATTTTCTGGGGGATATTGAGTTTTTTTGAAAAATAACTAATTAGCCTTTCAATTCCACAATCATCCTCCTGTAACAACACAGCTCCAACACCTGCATTGCTTGCGTCAATGGTAACTTTAAAGTGTTTCAAGAAATTTGGTGTGGCTAAAACTGGTGCAGTGGTTAATACTGCTTTTAAATTCTCAAATGCCTCCTGGCATTGTTCTGTCCATCGAAATTTCGCTTTTTTTGATAAAACAAATCTGTCAATGGTACCACTACGCTACTAAACTTTGGTACTAATTTCCTGTTGAATCTGCTAAATCCCAAAATTTGTAGCACTTCCTTGGAGGATGGTCCTGGAAATTCCTCGATGACCTTCGCCTTCACGTTCTTTGGTGTCATTGTTCTTCACGTTCTTTCGTGATCTTTCCACAAATGGCTAAAGGTCACTAAGTCATCTATGTAGATGGCACAATTAGTCAATCCTGCAAGGACTCTGTTCATAAACCTCTGAAAACTGGCTGGCTGGTGCGTTTTCCATTCCAAAGGGCATTACTTTAAATGGATATAGCCCATTTGGGGTTACAAAAGCAGAAGCTTCTTTCGCTCTCTCGGACAAAGGTATTTGCCAGTAACCATGAAGCAAGTCCAATTTTGTGACATAAGTGGCTTGTCCTACTTTTTCCCCCACACAATCCTCCAGCCTTGGAATTGGGTAGGAGTCAGATTTGGTCACAGTGTTGACCTTCCGATAATCTACACAGAGTCGCTGAGTACCATCAGGTTCGGGAACCAACACGATCGGCAAACTTGCTTTGACTCATCTCTACGATGTCTTCTTGATGCATTGCTTCCACTTCCTTCTGAACCTGCACCGACTTGAGAGGATTAACACGTAGGGGTGTTGGTTTATCGGAAAAGTGCTCCCTACGTCAACCTCGTGTACTATGGCATTAGTCCTCCCCATTCTATTTCTACACAGGTCCTCATCGCACTCCAACAAATCTTTCTATTCAGTTCTCTGCTTCTGGGATAGATAACTCACTACCCTATCCCATTCCTTAAAACCTCATTAAGGAATTTATTCTGAGGCACATCAAAATCCAAATCCTGTGGATTTGATTCCTCACTGAGTGGCAGTAACTAATGCCCATTTCTCCGGTTCCCTTTCCCTGTCATAGTAAGGTTTCAACACGTTCACATCACGTAACGGATAGGTTTTCTCCCCTGTCTGGCATCTTTATCAGATAATTCACCTGACTTCACTTCTTTTCGATCTGATGGGAACCACTAAACCTTGCTGAAGGGATCTCCTATCATTGGTAACAGCATCAATACTTTATCCCCACAGGCAAACACGCAAACTTTAGATTGCTTATCTCTTCTTGCTTCATTAGGTGCTATGCCACCTTCAAATATTGTCTAGCTAATTCACTTACTCTGTTTAATCTTTCTCTCACCTCAAACACATAATCCAACTGTGAAATCTCTGACTTCGAACCTATCAACTTTTCCCTAATTTTAAAGGCCCTCTTACTTTGTGCCCAATTATCAATTCAAATGGAGTAACCTGAGTCAATTCATTTGGAGCATCTCTAACAGCAAATAACGTAGATGCGATACCTTTATCCCAATCATTTGGGTAATCCTGGCAATAAGCCCTCAGCATTGTCTTTAGGGCCTGATGCCACTTTTCCAACGCTCTCTGGGATTCAGGATGGTATGCACTTGATTTAACGTGTTTGATGCCTAAACTATCCATGACCTCCTTAAACAATTTGGCAGTAAAACTGGACCCTTGGTCGGACTGAATCTCCCTGGGTAGTCCATTATGGGTTAAGAAAGCAAGCAACTCCTCCACAACCATTTCTGCCTTGACATTCTATGATGGAATTGCCTCCGGAAACCTGGTAGACACAATCATTATGGTTAGCAAATACCGGTTCCCACTTTTGGTTTCAGGGAGGGGACCTACACAATCAGTTATAACCCATGTAAAAGGTTCTTCAAATGCGGGAATTGGCATCAAAGGCGCTGGTTTTATTACTGCCTGTGGCTTTCCTACCATTGGACACGTATGACAGGTACAGCAAAATTCAACCATATCTCTATGTAACCCAGGGCAATAAAAATGTTTCTGTGTCCTAGCCGGAGTCTTCCTCACTCCTAGATGACTTCCTACAGGTAATCCGTATGCTACCCACAATAATTCTTGTCTGTGTTCTACCGGCAACACAATCTGATGAACTTCCACCCATTTCTCATCTGCACAAACCTGCCAGTCTCCATTTCTGCTTTAAGATTTTAAGAGTGGGCTTTATGATATAAATCCTTTATCATTTCATCTTTTTGTTGTAACTCCATTAATTTTTCAGAACTAAACACCTTTGCCTGATCCTCTACCTGCTTCGGTTTTTCCTTCACCATTTCATCAAATAGTGTCAGCTGACTGGACCTCAATTCCTTTATCACTCTCTTTTGTTTTAACTTACAACTGTGGGATCGCGTCACCACACAGTCCGGAAGAATTTCACGGTATTTTCCTTCTAAGTCCTCAGTTCTCTGGCTCTCCTTCGGCTTCTCCAGTACTATGGGCATCACACCCTCCTGTGATCCAGCTAGATCATTTCTAAGAATAAACTGTATTCCTGGAATAGCCAACTTTTCCCACCATCACTATCGCTTCCCTAGTCTTGATTGGACTTTCTAGCCTTATCTCACACAGGAAAACACTTATTTCTGGCTGCAGATTACCATTCTCTCGGGCAGCATTTCAGAAGGAGTGCAAATATTTTCATCTCTTACTATTAGAGACCGACTAGCTCCTGTATCTCTCAATATTTTAACTTCTTTACTTACTCCCCCTGTCCTACCTGAGCAAAATCTTACCCATACAGGTGAAGTCTTTGAAAAGATTGGGTGCTATCTCACTATCCAGCCTGTGACTAGGCTGTGCACTCTCCTGCAGCTCCTTTTCTACTTTTTGTTTTTCATTGAAAGGTCTCCTTTCCCAATTTCTATCCCCCACAAAATAAAATTGCTGTCAGAAGCGAGATTTTGATTTATGCACAAATGTGCATTCATCCACCATCTCTGCAGCTTTTTGTTTCAAGTTTTTGTTCCTCAACATCAGGTCTTAGCAGTTCAGGAAGT